AAAAAAAAAAAAAAAAGTCCAAAAGGAACGCTATAGAATAAGAGAATTCAGCTGGCTGAAGATCTTTATCTACCTAAGTCATAGCACAAGATGTAAAAACTCAACAATGTTCCTACACATATAACCTATTTTAAAAAGCTACTCATAGCAACCAAAGACATAAGATACCTTGAAACAATATATATGAAAGACTTGTATGCAATAAAACATTAAAAGAATGAAAAAACCCCATGTAAATGTAGATGTGTATTTGTTGAAGACTCAATAACATAAACCTATAAAATTAATATATAAATCTAATGTAATTGGGATTTATGGGAAGCTTGCCCTACCACTCATCACATATCTTAGTGTTCAGCTCTCTGGTTTTATAACAGGAGCTTGATGCTTGGGGAATCTATCAATTTGAGTGACTTGTATCTGCCTTAGTCTCTTCTCTCTAATAGTGGTCAACTATTACTGCAACTATGTGAAGGAGTTGAACTGCAGCAGACCGACTGAGGTCCTGTTCTGCCAACTGATGAAATATCTCTATATGCTTAATACTAAGACAAGCAGCAAACTGTTGTTGTGAACTCATATTCTCGCCTAGAATATGGTCATTTTACCCTTCTGTATGGCACAGGGAACTATAGACGATTTAGGTAGAGCCATAAAATTACTCCTTTCCTATGCCTCAGAATTGCATACCTCAGAGTACACAGTAACACAACAAGTAACAACTGGCCACCTTTACTATTAAAAATTCTTACTAGACTAGAATTCAGATCATATGTTAACTCTATGTTTAACCCTCTGAGGAACTGCCAGATTGTTTTTCAATTTTAAAATTAGTTACTTCATTTTTAAATTAAAAAGAAACGAAATGGTTAAATACACTATTTTAAAGGGTTTTATATGATAGCAAATGTCCGTGTGGGACTTAAAATCCAGCACCGGAGTCAGAAAATAAAAAGGGAACTGAGTGAACTTATGGAAAAAACTGTGCTAATTGAAAAAAAAAAGCGAGGAGAGGAATGATAAAAGGATAGGCAGGAGTCAGATGGAAACACTGCTGTTTTATACAATGAAATCAAATTGAGCCATCACTGTTCTGTGAAAACAGAACGAGGAGCGAAAGGTCAAGAATGAAAGCACGTGTTTTCAGGACAGCTAATTATCCTGAGAAAGCGTAGGGAAGGAAAATGCTCCTAAGACCACCAAACGTAGATGAGAACGTAATTCTGGTTGCTCTGAGAAACGTTTCCATTTAGAAAACCAGCCTGAAAGACATTTACGTCAGGTCAACTGTGGGAAACGGTTATGAAGCGAGACGCCCCCGACGCCAGCTGTCCGCGTCACCCGCACCTGACGAACCCTCTGGGGTCCTGCGGCCGAAAAGGGCGGACGGGGGAGGACAGGCAGGGCAGGGCGTGTGGAGGAGGACGACTCGGGAGCCTCAGACGGTGGAAGAAGGAAAGGCGAGACGGCCGAGCTTCTTACTTATACTCTTGCTCCTGGGCGAGAAGATCCAGCGACGGGAGTGGGGCCCCCGGGACGCCGCGTCCCTGTAAGAGAGAGAGAACTAGGGTTAGAGGGACCGAAGTTCACGGAGAAACCGGTGTCCCCGCAGCCGAAGGCTGGCCCTTGCCAAACAGTCTGGGGTTGAACTGACCCTAAAACTCAAACTTCGGCTCGCCATCTTTTGCTACCGCGACGCGGTTTCCTGGGCCACGACGCGTTTTCTCGCGAGATCTACCATCTCGTGGCGCGGGCCCCAGCGCCCTTGGGCGTGGCCACCTGTGTGAGTCTGCGCTTCGCTGCGGTCCCAAAAGCTAAGCGAGTCGTATAATCTTTCCGGGGGAAGGCTCTCAACCAAGAAAGACAGGTCTCTTTGGGTAACTAAGTAAAAGTAAGGCTAGCAAGGGTCGGGGATTTAGTTCAGTGGTTTCGCTGTCTCCCTCGCATAGCTCTATGTTCCGAGTTTGATCCCCGGTAACAAACAAAACAAAACAAAACACAAACAAAACCCTAAAGTTCTGATTTCTAGCCTTTAAATTTTTATTTTTAAAAATCATTTTTCAATAGCGGGAATTAAACCTGTGCCGTCGGACTAAACTACACTCCCTCCCTATTTTGTTTTTAAATTTTGAGGCAAGGTCTGGTTGAGATGCTAAATTTCTCAGGCTGAGCTCAGATTTGCCATCCTCCTACCTCAGCCTCTCCAAGGGCTAGGATTACAAGCCTGGGCTACCACGCCCGGCTGTGACTTACAGCATGGTTAAGAGCTCAGGCTTTCATGTCCGTCGTTCCCAGGTCACATCCTGGCTCTGCCGCTTATCATGCATAACAAGACAAATCACTCTGTATCTCAGCTGCTTCATCTGTGAAAGGGAAGTAAGAATGATGCCCATCCCAACGGTGTTATGAGGAATGCGTGAATTCATGCTTAGGATTTCGCCTAGAACAATTAAGCCAATAATTCCAATTGTTTTAGAATGAAATAGGAAGTTCTGAAGTAAACCTTCACATTTACAATTAACTGATCTTCTTGCAAGGGTACCAAGACCATTCACTGAGAAAAGAATACTTGTCAATAAATGGAAAACAACTGCACATCCACATGCAAAAGAATAAAATCGAGCCCTTGCCTCACACCATGTACAAATGTTAACTCAAGATCGATGAAAGACGCTAAATGCAAAGCTGTTCAAAGAAACCATACATATAAATCTTTAGGTACTTCTTTGATATGAAACCAAGAGATTAAGAAACAAAATAAAAAGAGAAAAACAGGACATCAGTGAAAATTTAAAACTTTTTGTTTCAAAAGATACCATAAAGTTGAAAAGAATATAGAAAGGGAGAAAATTTTGCAAAATTTATATCTGATAAGGGACTTGTGTCTGGAATTATTAAGATAAAAAGATAAAAGATAAAAAATGTTTTCAAGATGTGGAAAGGATCTTAAATAGGCATTTTCCCAAGAAGATACATATAACTAAAAAGCACAAAAATTATGCTCAATATAATTATTCTTCAGGAAAATGAAAACACAATGACATATAATTTCTCACTTGGATAACTATAATAAACAATAGACAATAGTAAGTGAGGAGAGAATTTGGGGGTATTATGGTTTGTGTTTAGATGTACCCCCAAAGCCTTATGTGGATGAGGTGGGGCTTTCTTTTTCAGAGGTAGTTGAAACTGGAATGCGTGATGCTGGGGTTAAGGGTGTGTAATTACTAAATCACTACATGTGAGTGACTAGTTTGGCACTGCCCTAATTCCAGTAGTCTGAATAAGATAAAGGGGGAAGAAAGATGCTCTCAAACTCTCTCGTTACTTTTGCTACCTTGCACATGCCATGTTGTTTCTTCTCTGAGATGCTTGTTTGCCATCCCAGTCTCAGAGCTAGCTAATTATGGACTGGAAACTTTAGACTGTAAGCCAAATAACCCCCTTCCCCGCTAACTTTACGTGCTGGGTATTTTGTCTCAGCAATGAGAGGAAAGTAATTAACAGAGGGGATGTAAAAACGTATACAGCCATTGAGGGAAACACTCTGGAGATTTTTTGAAAATTTATACAGAGAGCTACCCCATGATCCAGCAACCCAGCTCTAGGTATATGTGTAAAGAAAATAAGAATATACCAAAGAAGCTACAACAGATGTCTATTGAACCATTTATAATGTTAATAAAGTGAAAATTACCTGAATCGTCATAAACTGTTTAATGCATAAGAAGTAGTATATTCATATAATGCAATATTATTTAGCAGCAATAAGGAATGAAATATCAATACCTGCTATAATATGGATAAAATTTGAAAATATGCTAAATGAAAGGAGTTATTCACAAAAGACAACATAAACTATTCCATTCCAGTATGGTGAGATATTATATGAAATGTTCAAAACATGCAAATCCATAAAGAAAATAGTGGTTTTGTAGATATGGCATATGATGGGGCATTGGCTAAGGGGTTGAAGGATTCTTAAGGTATAATGAAAATATTTTAAAATTTATGATGGTTGCACAACCTTGAATATACTAAGAACCAATGAATTGTACACTTTATGTGGATGAGTGGTAGGCAGGCATCAATGAAACTGTTAAAATGTTTAAAGATTACATTAAAAGTCAAGGAATAGAGAAAAGTAGACCATGCAACCATGAAATCAAAAGGAAGTTGGAGTAGCTCTGTAAATTTCAAACAAAAATGACTTTAGAATTATTAGAGACAAAGAGTAGCATTGCACCGTGACTTGCTAAGCTTAAACATGAATAATCACGAGAGCCATGCTGTGTCCACGGATGAATGAAGGCCACTTTTTCTAAGTGTATCAAGCCAATTATGAAAAGAAACCTCTTCAAACTGAATGAAAATTAACCTTTCCTTTTTTTAACTTGTTGGTGAGAGTATTTGGTTCAACAACAAAAAATTACCAGGGACAGACCCACCACATTAATGACACTAGAGTCTTACAGTTAAGAAGTTCTTTTATTCTAGCAGAGAGAATCTATTCAACTTGCTGAACTCTAATGCAACTCCTGAAGACAGAATATTAACTTCAGCTCTGCTAAAAAGAAAGGAGGATAGCAAAGAGAGGAGAATTGACAGGGACTTGAATGAACAACATGATAGAAAATATGCAGGGAGCTGCAACTTTTATAGATAATTAAGGACAAGCATATGAGGCTGTTGGGTGAACAAATAAAGCCCTGTGAGATGCATGGCCATATGGGATGCAACCAATGCAAGCAAAAGTGGGGATGGTCCTGAGCAAGAACGGATCCTAAACCACATGAAGCAGGAAACATCACACATGGCCAAATAATTAATGACATTCCTCTGTGGCCACACCAAAATGACTGCTTTCTGTGGTCAAGGATATCTGTGTGTGGTATCGTAATTTTTCTCCCATTTCTGGCATGCTGTGTGTAGAATAGCCAAATTTCTCCCCCCCTGCTTGGTCTTGGTAGATTAGATAATGTAGCTATCTTTTTGTGTGGCTGCTGTGCATGAAGTAGCTCACTTTGTGGTCCTTTTGTTCCCTGCCTTCTGTCTGTGGAGTCCCCAGCTATGAATTGTCTTTTTCTGGAATTTTCCACTGATAATTACAAGAAACTTGTAATGCTTGATGATCACCATTGCCTCAGCTACAGTAAGATTTTGTAGTTTTATCTGTGAAGATCCTATGCTTTTTTTTTTTTTTCTTTTTTTTTTTTTTTTTTGGTACTGGGGATTGAACTCAGGTCCTTGTGCTTGTGAGGCAGGTGCTGGAACCAGTAAGCTAAATCCCCAGCCGATCCTATGCTTTCTGTGTTACATTTATTTCTTCCTAATCTCTTGGCATATGCTACGATTTGGATCAAAATGTCCCCCTAATCCTCGTGTGTTCAGAGGCAGAGCTTCTGGAAAGTGATTAGATCATGGAGATGCTAACGTGGTAAGTGGCTTACTCTATGTTGAGTTCATGAAGTGAATGAGCTGTTAACAGGGGGCCTAGCTGAAGGAAGTCGGTCCCTGGGGTGTGCTTTGGAAGGGTGTATCTCTTCTTGGGCTCTTCCTCTGCTCTACTTTCTGGCTGCCAAGAGGTGAGCAGTTTTCTTCCCTAACACACTTTTGTTGTGACGTCTCTGCCTTGGAGCCAGATAACCATGGACTGAGACCTCTGAAACCGTGAGATAAAATAAACCTCTCTTCCTTTAAATTGTTTACGTCGGGTATTTTATCCCAGCAACAAAAAACTAACATAGTAGCCGGGTGTGGTGGCACACGCCTGTAATCCCAGCACTTGGGAGGCGGAGGCATGAGGATCACTGTGAGTTTGAGAGCAGCCTGGGCTACACAGTGAGTTCCAGGTCAGTCTCAACTACATAGTGAGACCCTGTCTCAAAAAACCAAAAAAGTAAAAAAAAAAAAAAAAAAGCGAACATAGCAGATCAGGTGTTTACATGAAATTCAAGAGGAAAAGTAGATGTATTATCCTTTCTAATTTGACTTTTCTTTTTTTGTACCAGGGATCGAACTCAGGTCCCTGCGCTTGTGAGGCAGGCAGCAGAACCACTGAGCCAAATCCCTGGCCCTACTTTGATTATCTTTAATCTTCATAGGCATTTTAAAAGAAAGGTAGTACAGTATATGAGAACAAATTTCAAAATTATATCATTTGTGATTTGAATCTCAGTGAAAGGATGTACTTAGGTCCTCTGGGCAAGCTACTGAGCCTCTTCTCAGAAATGCAGTTTTTAAAAGGAGAACATTTATATTTATTTTAAAATAATACATTTGAGAGTTACATGACATAAAGTAAATGGCTTGCCTTTTAGTAGCTAAGTAGCATATGCCTCCGGTTATTATTTTACATACTACTTTTCAAATTATAAGCTTTCAACATTTGCATGAAAAAATGTATACAGTGAGATACATATAAGTAATGAACTTTTCAAAAACCATTTTTTTTAGAATTTAAGTCACTTACCCTATGCTATAAGCTTCTTCCTCTTCATATGATTTATTTTGTGTTGAAAAAGTCCTAGATTGTACCTCCTGATGCGCTCTCTAATTAAATAAGTGAAATAAGTCATATGTAACAAAGAAAAAATAAAACTAGGATATATTCAAATATCTCTCTGAGCATTAATCATTACAGAGTTTTCCATGGTTTTTATGACATGAAAACACAGGATACGAAAGGTTAGAGTATGAAAATAAGGCCTGTTATATTGTAGCTTCACTTTTCATTTACTCTGGGGTAAAAAG